GGCCCGCGGCCTCCCGCCGGCCCCCACACCTCCAGGGCACCCTCCGGAGGATCCTGGCACTGCCCCGGTAGATGAAGATGGGGTCAAGTCTGAACCAGGCCTCACCCTCTTTGACCAGGGCTTCCATTACCGTCTGTCCCCTCCACACAGCAGGCCGTAGTCATGCCTTGCAGGTTTTTAAAACTGTAACCCACAGTCAGAGAACGACTGTGCGCCTCACTTGGCTCACAGACTCATATTTGCATCCCCGTTTTGTTTTGTTGGTTGGTTTCTATCCTACTTCATTTTTTAAAAATGTTGGTCAGGACCTGCTAAACTGACCTGCCATGAGTAAGGAGCAGGGGTGCAGCTCAGTGGGACAGCGCTTGCCTAGCATGCTCCAGGCGCTGGGTCCCATCCCCAACACCACAGAAAGAAAACAAGCAGAGGAGCCCTTGCAGGCCACGGAGGGAGACATGGAGGGAGACATGGAGGAAGACGGATTCCAGGAACCCAGGAGCCCAGTCTGAATGGGTGACCAAATAGGCCACAGGAAGACAGCTGGGATACACCCGCAGGAAAGCACAAACTCTGGGTCCCTCCAGAGATGGGTAAACTGAGGCTGACAGGAGAGGCAATAAGTGGGGTACTGGGTTGGGGGCCACCCAGTGGGCTGAGGAAAGGGGTCCTTGGCCTGGGGCTTGGCCCAGGGAAGTGGGGGTGGGGCACGGAGTCCCTAGCCCCACTCAACCTCACCTTCATGGGCAGGCTGGCACCCAGGTACACCATGAAGATGGCCACCGCCTGCCACCAGTGGTAGATGGTAAAGATGAAGTCCTGCCTCTCCTTGTCCTCGTACAGGATTCCCAGGAGTGCTGCCAACAGGCGGAAAGGACAAGCAGGATGCAGGGGTCGCCTGGTGCTGCTGACCTCCCCCGGGAGACTCTCCTAGGCCCTGCACTGGTCCCTTCCGTGAGTCCCAGAGCACCCGGGCAGCACTTATGCCAGTCCTTGCCTGCCCCCTAGAGGAGGCCCTGGTTACTCTGCTGCCCAGGGGAGTTCCAGAGGAGAGCTCTGTGCCCAGAAGTCATGGCTAGATCCCAGGTGCACAGGGCCAAGAGCAAGGGGACTGTTGCTCTTCCTCCTCAGGGACCAGGGAGGGCCAACTATCCACAGCAACCAGCTTTCTACAAATCGACCCTGAAGTGTGGGAGCAGGGGACTTGTTTCCCAAGAACCCTCCCAGGTGGGGGGAAGAGTCCTGACAGGGAGTCAGGGGACTCGGACTTGAGCTTCAGGACTGGAAGGTGGAGGTGGGGGTTCAGAGGTGCAGAAATGTGGACATAAACGTTGGCTCTGAGGATTATTTGGGTCAAGTGACTTTATGCATATTCTATGCTGTTAGAAGTTCTAAAAAGAAAAGGCCAGTCTGGCACCTCACAGGTACTGGGAGATACTTGCTATTAACACCTCTGCCAGGCTCAGGGAATGAACCCTCCTGTCCTGGGGCTCAGAGGTGACATTAAAAACCGTTAATGGCTCTGGCACACCAGAACAGATGCCAATGTGGACTACCCACGTGGCTAGATCCATGTGTACCAGTAATTCCCACTGGCAATACCCCCTCTCTACAGAGGGCATCACACAGCTGAACTTGGGCTCACTCTGCCTTCTGCTGATAGGACCCCTTTCCCCAGTGACTCATCCCTAGCAGCCCAGACCTGGAGACTGCCAGGTGATTAGGTTAGGATTCATGCCTGCTCCTGTCTCTGCTCCACAAAAGGCCCAGATCTGGGGCCACATGTATGTCTCAGTGGTAGAACACTGGACTAGCACACATGAGGCCCTAAGTTCAATCCCCAGCATCCAGGGGGAAGAAAGAAAGGGCCCAAGTCTACACCTGCATCCTAGGGTATGGACAGGGCTACCTGCCACTAGTCCCACCGTGCTCGTCCCTCGAGCACAGACCCCATCATCTACTCCGGTGTATGGAAGCCCCACCCCTGTGATGAGGAGGAGGTGTCCCCTCTGTGTTTTCCAATTTCCCTGAAGGCTGGGCACACCTACCCCATGTGTCCACAAGATCTCACCCCACTCCCTTGGTGTCTGCAGGGCTCAGTGCCCACCCTGAAGTATCAACAGAATGTCCATACCCCCAGGGCGTCTGGCTCTTCTTCGTCTGTGCCTCCAGCGTGGGTCTGTGGGACTTCCTTCCACCCCTGGACTGCCCACCTACCTTTACTTCATACAACTCCATGGCGGATCGCCTGTATGTTCGTGTCCATCCCTGGGTGTCTATGTCTCCCAACCACCCACAGCTTGCCACAGATCCTCCCCCGCAGTCATCCCAGTGTCCATGGCTGTACTCACTGCTGAGTCCGGTCTTGTTGAAGGCACTGCCCACACCCCAGAGGGCAGCTGCCACATAGAGGACCCAGCTGTGTTTCAGGGCTCGAGGTGCAGGGGCCCAGACAAAGAGGCCAAGAGTGAGCAGCAGGTGCAGCCCTGCCCCAGTGACCAGGGGCACTGAGCGTGGCAACCACAGCCCCAGCAGACCCAGGACCGAGGCAGCTGAGGCACCCAGGCTGTAGGCCACAAGGAGGTAGGCCAGCCGCTCCAGCCCAATGGAGCACACTCCATAGCCCTGAGGGAAAAGCAGAGTATTGAAAGTCTGACAGCCCAGGCCCTGACCCTCCCCATACAAATGTCACTTTAGGCCACACTTTGTCCTCTCTGGACCTCCTGGGAACTAATTTTCTCCAGGGCTGCTAGGAAGGTTCCAGGAGAACTGTCAATACTGAAAATACTTGGACTGTGTCCCCAGACACTAAGGGCCGTACCCTACATAAAACCAAATGCTTTATGGAAATCATCCCAGTTCAGCTTCAGAGAGGTTAAAGGAACTTGCCCAGGGAAAAGGAGAATAGGGACAAGGAAGGAAGAGAAAGAGGGAGAAGGTTCTTATATATATTTATACATATGTACTTTTTTTTTTCAGTTCTGGGGAAGAAACTCAGGCTGGCATCAAACTTGGGACCCTCGTGCCTCAGCCTCCCGAGTCACTGGGATCACGGGCATGTGCCACCATGCCCACCTATACATATATACTTTAAAATATGTGTCTTTGGAATTTAAATTTAACTGGATATCCTGCCTCTTGTTGGCAACCTTATGCAGGCTGTACTTACCAGGGCGAGACCCGTGCAGGCAAAGAGCACCTCAAAGCCACTGTAGATGAAGAAGGGCACCAGGTGGCGCAGGCGGAAGTCACGCACGTACTTGAAGGGCAGCTGGAAGATGTTGCCCCAGCCCACGCTGCGCAGGTCGATCTCCTCCGTGGGCCGGTAAGCTGCACCGCACAGCCCCAGCACCTGCCGGCAGGAACTCTTTAGAGGTGACCAGCCGGGCACCTCGCTCCACCCCTGGGCTTCAGCCTCACCGCAGCCCAGGGCCCCGCCCTGGGACACGCCCACAAACCTTGCTTTCCAGGCCACGCCCTCATCCCCCGTCCCTCAGGCATGCTCCTCCAGTGGACTTGGACCTTGCTTACCAGCCCCGTCCTGATCTCAGGCACATCATGTCCACGCCCCCGGAACTTTAGCTCTGCCTTCTAGTATGCCCTCAGACTTGAGCCCCATCCTCCAGTCCATGACCCTGGGACCGGCCCCAAATCCCTCTCAGGTAGCACTAATCTCTGGGATTTCAAATCCAGCCCCGTCCCTAGGCGTAGGCCCGCCTCCTGGACTCAGCCCTGGCTTGCAAACTCGGCGCCTCCAGGCCTGCCCCCTCGGAGGCCACAGCCCTACAACCCTCCCCTGGCCACACCTCCAGGCAGTGGAACGCAAGCCCAGATTGTTTTCCAGGCTGTGCCACTCGGTCCCAAAGACCCACGCTTAGCCTCAACGCCTCTGGCCCATCCCCAGCCCGGGCCGCACCAGCAGCATGGCCAGGAAGGCCACCGCCATGAGCACGCTCTCCACCACGATGAGGTTTCGGCTCCGTGGTAATGTCCGCAGAACCGTCTTGTTGAAGCCATTAAGGATGCCGTGGCTGTTGGTGCCTGGGAAGAGTGGGTGGGGACACAGTGAGTGGGACCCGCTGTCAACCCTACCACGAAGAAGTGCAGCAGCCAGGGGACAGGCGAAGGTGGTGCCAGCAAGGAGCGCTCCCCTGGGAGGGTGGGCAGTCCACCTCCACACATCCACCCTGCACTGACTGAGCTCGGCCTGCCTGCTGGCCCCAAGGGAGAGCTGGGCAGTCTCAATCCAGGCGGCCTTCTCGGCCCGCCCCCACCCCTTAACCACATGCTGCTTCTGGGTCCTGGCCTTTCCCACCAAAGCGAAGGGATGCCAGGCTTCAGCCCCCACCCCTGGGAGTGAGGGCTCAGTGTCTGCTGGGTGACTGGGTGCGGGGAGTAGCAGGCCCTGGGGAGCCCCCCACCCCCATGAATACTAACCGCAGCTCTGCACGTTGTACAAGGTGTGGTTCAGGTCATACAGGTAGTAGTTCAGGAAGTAAACCATGGGCAGCTGGGCACAGGCAAAGCTCAGCTGTGGACAGGAGGGCCGTTGGGGCCAGACTCAGGCACCAGCCAGGCCGAAAGCCCTGGCACTGTCTGGGCACAGACTTGGGGAACTGGAGCCCTCCCCCTACTGGGTTAGCCTGGTGGCAGGGTGGGGGGGTGCCCAAGACAGGAGGACTTCTTCCTGGCCAGCCCTGTAGACTGGGAGGAGACGAGGTCTCCGTCACTAGAAGTAGGCAAGCAGGGGTTGGCTCCAGAAAGGATTAGAGGGTTGAGAAGATGTGCAGTGGGCTCCCATGTATGAGTTCTGGGCCTGGGACATCACACACACCCCCAGTGCGGCGCGAGGTGCTCACATGGAAGAAGCTATAGAAGATGGCTTGGAAGACCAGGAGGTAGGGTGCGTGGGAGCCCCGCGGTGGACGCTGCTGAGGGCCCTGCTCATCCTGCTCCTTGTAGTGGGAGTACTCATAGTACTTCTGCGACATCCTGGGCCACAGAAGTAAAGGCTCGCCTCAGCCCCGTCTCTATGGCCACCCCACTTCTAGCACCCTGAGCTACGGGCTGAGCAGCTGAGGCCCAGAGCATGGGAGGGGCTTGCCCAAGACCCCCCAGCTGAGGGTGGCAAAGCAGTCGAGGCTCAACCTGGTCTCCAGCCTCCCAGCCCACTGCCCCCGACTCACCTGGTGATATAGTTGCCCATGGAGGCCCAGAGAGGAACGATGGCCATGCCCAGGGCCACAGCTGAGGGCACCAGTGTGTAGTAGCGCTCCCAGTAGTTGGTGGAGACAAATAGCGCATAGATGCCCACGGCCAGGAACATCATCCACTTGGTGCCAAAAAACCTGCAGACAGGGGAGGGGTGCTGGTTTCCCGGACCTGCAGGGACAACCTGGCCTGAGACCAGACGGCCATGGCCCCATATCCCCGCTTCAAGGCTGTGTGTGATGGAGAGAGCCCTGGCCAGAGATGGCCAGAGAGGGCCCCAAGATGGAGTCTCAGGTTCTAGATGCCGAGTGGATTGAGACAGGCCACTGTGCCTGCACACCTCGGTTTCCACAGCTGTGATGTGGGCAGGACCCAAACTACAGGCCTCTCGTGGTCATGGCAAGGATAGAAGGATAGGAGTCAGTGGCCGTGGGTACAGCTAGCACTCACTCCTGTCCTGCCTGACTCACCCATCTCCCTTTCTCCTCCCAGGCTTCTGAGGTGACTCTAGAGCCAGTGACATACTCAAAGGGCTCAACCAGGCTAGGATGAGAGGGAAGACGGGCCTCACGCTGTCAAGCGCCCGAGTTGGAGCCTTGGGGCCCCTTCCTCCCTGCCCACTGCTCTTTGGGTTCCACTGTGGTCAGTGGGGAAGTTTCCCCTTCTCTGGGTCTGGGGAGAAGCCACACAGTGACCATGGAAGGGACTTGATCAGTGATGGGGTAAGGACCCAATCAGAGCACGGAGGCTGATCAGCCTGAAAGCCCACTCCCAGCATCTCTGGGTTTTACTTAAGCTCCTTAGTCCTTTCTTTGTCTTGGCTTCCAGGAAGCTCGAAGCTAAACAGCCCTGGGTTTTTGCCGCCCATTCTTTTGACCCACATCTCCAGCCCTTTCTTTCTTTTTTTGAGATAAGGTCTGGCTAAATTGCTGAGGCTGGCCTAAAACTTATTCTCCTGCCTCCACTTCAGCCTCTCTAGCCACTGGGATTACAGGCCCCACTTGTTATTTTTAGTTTGCAATATAACAGACAGGCAGCCTCCTCTTGATCTATTTGAGAGAAGGGCAGTTCACCAAAAAAGCTCATTTTGATGGAGCAAAAAGTAAAATGTCAGCACTCATTCACTGCAGGAGAGGATGTGGTTTAGAAATTGAAACAGCCCGTGGTCATGAGCATCGGCATGACCCTTTGGAAAGGTAGCCTGGTGGTTCTGGCCAACGGTGAGCACCTGGGTTTAGAGTCACTTGGCCAGCATTCAAACTTGAGGTCTGCCAGTTACTGCCTGTGGGACAGAGTCAAGTCTTCTCACCACAAGTTTCCCTTGTGGGTGGGAGCAGCTACCTGGACTGTTGGGAATTTAGCTCCTCCAGAGTGCCCAGCACATAAGAAACAAAATAAAGGCTAGCTGTAATCATTTAAAGTAATAGGTTTTTAGACCTGAAAGCATTTCATGTGCCTTTGACCTAGTGAAGACACTGCTGGGAATTTATTCCAGGGGAAAACAAAATAAAAATAATTAATTTTAAAAAGAAGGAAAGAGCCGGGCACTGGGAAGCCACCTGTCACAGGAAGCTGAGGAAGATGGATCACAAGTTCAAGGCCAGTTTGAGCAATTTAGTGAGACCCTGTCTCAAAAAATAAAAGGGTTGGAGGTGTAGCTCAGTGGTAGAGCACCCTTGGGTTCAATCACCAGTACCAAAAAAAAAGAAAGAAAAGAAGTAGAAGAGGAGGAGGACAGACAGACAGACAGCCTGGCAGTGCATGGCCGGCAGTCCCAGCTGCTTAGGAGGCTGAAGTGGGAGGGTTCCTTGCGCTCAGGAGTGAGATTAGCCTGGCCAACGTAGTGAGACTCCTGCCTCCACAGAAGAAAGAAAAAGAAGGAAAGAGTGTCAAGCACAGAGGAAGCAACCATGTCCAACTGAGGGCCACAGCTGGTCCCCATCTCTGCAGAAGACACGGCCCTGGCAAAAGTCCTCATGGTGAAGGCTGCAGACGAGGCTCAGATGTGTCAAGTGGAAAGAAAAAAAGAACAAGAGCAAGGCTTGCACACACGTGCTCTGGTGACAACGGGGTGGACTTTACCCACTCATGCTGGTGGGACAGAGGACGTGGGCCATTTACTGGAGGGCTTAGGAGGAGTTTCCTTGTTTATGATTTCAGTTACGGTGACACTGTTCAACTGTGAAAAGGAAACTTAAAAACAAGGGAACTAAAACCCATCTACTCTGCCCGCTGGCCTCCTGGTCTCATCTGGGAGGTGCTATGGGTGGGATTTCTGCACTGGCCAGGAGGCTGGGCCACAGGCCTCTAAGGCTGGGAAGCTCCTGCCCAGCCATTCCCCTTTCTGTGCCAAATGTCCTCTCAGTCACAGCTGATAGGGCCAGGAGTGGGTGCCTGAGCTTTGCCCACCGACTGGAGCCTCTCGCAGAATCCACAGCCCAACTCAGAAGGTCACTATGGGTCTGGGCCACCACAGAGCCCATGAGAGGATGCCATGTGGTACACAGGCCAAAGGGGGGCAGAGCCTGCTTGAATCTCTTGCCTGAAACCAAATGTGCCCTAGATGCGGGGACAAAATTCTCCTTTCCTCCCCTACACCTTGGTTTCCCCTCTTCACTCTCACCCTCCTAGGGAGGCACACTTCCTCCCCAGTTCCCTGTTCCTCCCTGCAAAACAATGGGCCAGCAATCTCTGCACCCTTGGAGACAGGGTGACAGGCCAGCCCTCACCTGATGAGCACCGGTGTGTAGAGCAGGGCAGCGATGGGTGTCACGTTGATGCCCATCAGCATCTTGCTGTCGATGTCGGGAAGGCCCATGTTGCCGTACTTCACCTCGCGGTAGGTCTCATCGTAGTGCAGGATCAGCTGCATCTGCAGGAGGCCTGGGGACAGGGGGCAGCGTGGAGGGAGCGGTCTGGCTGCCGGGGCAACCTAGCAGAGGCGGGAGGCAAGCCTGGCAGGGGCTCCAGTCACCGGAGGGCTTTCCATTCCTACAGGGAGCGGAGGAGGCAGGGAACCCACCCTCACCCATCCCCACGGCTCTGGCTGGGACCTGGGGACACGGGCCGGCCAGGAAGCCCCTCCTTGCCCCAAGTGAGGCAGCTGCAGCTGCAGCTAAGAGGGCGATGTACCGGGAAGTGAAAGGGGAAGGAGAAGGGCTGGCCCAAGGTTTCTCTTTCCCTGAACGGGTCGGGCGAGGCCAGGGGTCGCGCGGCGCAGGCCGGGGCGCGGGGCGTACCCAGGTAGACGCCGTAGGTGAGCATGCCGCCGGCGCTGGCGGCCAGCACGTTCTTGAGCACGCCCAGGCGCTTGCGGCGGTAGTAGCGGCGCTCCTCCTCCTCCTCGTTGTAGTTGGGGTACGCGCCCACCAGCTCGTCCAGC